ACCAGCACAGAGATTTCTGTTCTTCGAATGTCGAATGTAGTATATTCAGACGGCGCAGCCAGAAACAAGCACAACCCACCCTGTGACCAGCACGGAGATTTTTCTGTCAAAGTTCAGAGAGAATAAGATTTGGTTTCTCTCCATTTTTCTTCACCGCAACGTAGAGAGAGATGGTTTTAGACGGCGTCAAACGTGTTTCGTGTTTCGAATGAGGATGAGGTATGTATGTAGTTTAGAAGAAGAAGAAGAACCCATGCTGCCAGAATTTCCAGAATTTTGTTCTGTACTGTATGTATGTACAGTCTTGTATGCACAGAACAGCTAATATAGATCGTGATGATCTATCGTGATCGTGAGGGTGTCTGTTGGAGGTCTTGGAGAATGAATGAATAAATAAATAAATACCAGACCAGATCCAATGGATGAGGTCTGCTGGCCAGTATATATCGTGTGCGTTTTGATTGATACAAGATATTTTTTTTCTTTGATAAGGATAAGGATGAGAAGGATTTTGTAGATGATAGAGATTTCAGATGGATAAGATGGGGCCAGGACAATCAATATAGTAGGCCATATCGAGGACGCACATAGAAATATATATGTGTGTGTGTTTATATATGTGTGTGAGAGGTATATATGCAGAGGACAGAGGAGGGGGGATTGCCAGATATTTATACTGTAGCTGGGCAGGGCAGGGCTGGGAGGGCGTGAATGACTCACTATCTGGGCTCTTGTCATCGTCACTTATACAGACTGGAATCTACCGCCAGTAGTGACGACACACTTCTAGATAGTGCTCACAGTGAAGGATGTGATTATTTGTAAATTGGATAGAATAAGACTGGAATCTATGCCAGGCTAGAAGTGACGATACATACTTAGACAGTGCTCACAGTGAAGGATGTGGTTATTTGAAATTGGATGTGATGAGATAAAGAAAAATGCTAAGTTGCCTACAGCCTGAATGAATATATACAGGATGGCTGCATGGTCTGGTGGAAGGTTCCTTGCAGTTTTGAAAGTGTAATCAGTTGCATTTCCTATAGCTCTCGCAGATCTCACGATTATACTGTACTACAGTGTAATGCCAAACGCTTGCAAGATAGCATGTTGAACGGTCATTCTGCTACTAGGCAAAAGACTCGGACAAACCGATATGTAGGCAATGCAAGCAATCCTTTCTTGATGACCTTCCCTCTCAACCAAAATATTTTGATTAGAGTGATCAGGTAGGAAGTCGTCGAGCTCGTCTTAGCTTCATCCATATACAAGTACATAGACTACTAGACCCCAGCACCGCGTTGAGGTGCGAGCTCGTCGCTGGGGAACCCCTGGATAGTGCCTGGACCGGAACTAGTCGTCTCCACGACCTCATCCCGGGCGGGGCCTTCCTCCTCCAGAACCGTCCCTCACGCATCCTCCTGCAGGGCTGCCTCAAAGCTGACCGCGAACTCGTCGAAGGTTTCGGTCTCCTGAGGATCGGTCTCCTGAGCAGGATCGGCGCGAGATGCGGAACAACCCGAGGCAGCACGAGCAGTGGTGCGTTGGTTCCGCCTTGTCTGCTCCCTTGCCCTCTTCACGTCGTGCTCCAGAGGGGAGGTGCCACATATCCCTTCTTCATATGGTTCCTTTCCCCCAGCCACGAGTAACTCTTGGTGCGGAATGCCTGCCGCAATTGATCCCCCGTCCCCGGCGAGCGCCCAGTAGGTGGATTGTCGTCCCCAGCGAGATCGACCACCGCTGGTCCAGCAGCGGGCGCCGGTCTCACTGGGGACTCGGACTGGGGTGGCGGAAGTGGGTGAGCCGTCGCTTGGTTCTGCTGGCCGATTTCGAGCTGCCCGGACTGGAGTGCCGCGAAAATGGCGTTGAGACACTGTTGGAGCTGGATGGCCTGGTCTCTCCACGCCTTGGCCGACTGTTGGTTCTTGATGGCCTTCCCTTGCCAGAACGCCGCGTTTTCGCAGAGATGCCCGTCCTGGCAGGAGACGGGGAAGGACGGACGAGTACAAGACTCCTCGCCGGTCTTGGATTTCTTCCCCTCAGAGGCTTCGGACCAGCCGAAGGCCTCGTCGTAGGGGCGCTTGCCAGAAGCGCTTTGCGGTTGAGGATTTTTCTCCATGGACGCGGAAAGATTGGTAGACGCGGATGAAGACAGCTTGGGATGTTTCAAACGAAATTTGTGACCAGCACAAGAGATTTTTGAGGAGGGCTGAGAAGGAAAAGAAGGAAGAGAAAGAAGAAAAGACGAACAGCAGGGAAAAGAGACGATATAAATAGACAGGAATCTTCCTGTAGTGAATAAGAACAGCATCCTGGACCAGCAACAGTGAATCTGACATTGGATCTAGCAACATGGTGACTGGAGATGGGCGATGAAGAGCTAAACAAGCAGTGAATCAGCGACTCGTGTGACATTCACGTCTCTTTCTGCCGCGCATTACCCTTCACCGCCCTCACTCCACCACGTGCCCTAGCACCTCCACCAACCAGAGAGCCTGCAATTTCACCGCCTCTGATGTCAAGCAGAAACCCGCTAACCAGGAGTAGACTAGCTTGGGTTCCCTTGGGCGTGCCCCAGTAAGGCTGAGAGCATCGTCCCTCTTCCACCTTCACCCCACGCAGCGAAACAAGACCGCAGCGGTGCAGTCACAATCAGCATACTCAGGCACCATGAGCGTTATTCTCTGTACTGGTGAGTTTAGCCATCGTTGATGCAGCTCTGCTGCCTGTCTGTGAGAAAGTTGTGCTGACAACTGCAAAGCGGGGTATGATCATACCATCCGGTAGGTCTCGATCCATCCAGCTCCAAAAGCCGAGGCTGCTGTTGACAGTATCGCAATGCAGCTTTTGGGAAGCCCTTTCAGGGATCTGCTCGCGCACTTTGCAGCATCCCGACTCGCAGGTGAATCGTCTGTGTATTACGCCCGATAAACGTTACCTCGCCGCCGCCGGACACACCAATGTCAAGCTCTACGATATCAAGTCCAGCAACCCCAACCCGGTCATGACCTTCGATGGCCACACAAACAATGTCACCGGAGTCGCCTTCCACTGTGAAGGCAAGTGGATGGTTACCAGCTCTGAAGACGGAACCGTCAAGGTCTGGGACACTCGCACAGGCAGTCTGCAACGCAACTATGTCCACAAGGCGCCCGTTAACGATGTTGTCATCCACCCAAACCAGGGAGAGCTCATCAGCGGGGATCGTGCCGGTACGGTGCGAGTCTGGGACTTGGGAGAGAGCGTGTGTACACACCAATTGATTCCAGAGGATGACGTCGCGGTGCATAGTGTGAGTGTCGCCAGTGACGGTTCTCTTCTCTGTGCGGGCAACAAAAAGGTACGTTATCAGACTTGAGAGCCGCTCAATGTTCGACTGCATCTAATTCAGTTCGCCTAGGGGAACGTGTATATTTGGCGTATGATCCAAGAAACCGAGGTCACTCGAATTGTGCCCATTGCGACATTCCAGGCGCACAAAGACTATCTCACTCGTGTCCTTCTTTCGCCCGATGTAAAGCACCTTGCCACCTGCTCCGCGGACCATACCGCCAAGATCTGGAATTTGGATCCCGACTATCCTCCAGCCAAGGCTGCCGCTGAGGCTGCCAAAGCGAAAGCCAAGTCTAATGCAAACGGCACAGCCAATGCCAACGGGGCCACCAACGGAACAGCTACACCTACATCGTCCGACTCCCAGACTACGACTGACGCCAACACGGCTGATACCTCTCAGGGCAGCTCCGGTGATCATAACGCGAATGACTTCAATTCAGCCGGCTCCCAGAGCGGCACCCCAGCGGCCGGGGACCAGCCTCAACAAACATTCCCTGTGCAACCAGACGGTCCGCCAATGGACCCGACGACCGGCACCCTCTATCTGGAAACCACGTTGGCGAACCACCAGCGCTGGGTGTGGGATTGCGCCTTTTCAGCGGACTCGGCATACCTCGTCACCGTGTCGAGCGACCACTACGCTCGTCTGTGGGAGTTGGCTTCGGGGCAGATCATCCGTCAGTACAGCGGACATCACCGTGGAGCGGTTTGCGTTGCTTTGAACGACTATTCCGAGCCTCGCTGAATTGTTTCTTTTTCTCTTACTTTCTACATTTTCTCCGTTTTACTTACGCAATCTGTACATACAGTGAAACTGCATCCGCACGGCGATTCGGAGTTGGTTAGGTCTTATGGACAGGGTGTTCTGGCTGCTCGGTTAGTTTGCAATTGACACGATCATCATCGTCGTCGTCATCATTTCCAACTTGGTTGTTTTCATCTAGTCTGGTGTGCAGGGATGGATAATACCCTCTAATAATAAATAAGCACAGAGTTATTTATTACAAGGCACCCTATCAATCACAAATTGTGACACAGTCACACATACATACGAAGTAGGTGCTATATATAAAACCCCCTGTCTACAATCTACATAGGATAGGCGCAAAACAGTCATGTATTTAATTTAGTTAGGTACCTACTACCTACCTACCTGGGTAATTGATTGATAACTTTTTTTTTACTGTACAATACACCGCTTTGTGCGAATTATCCATAGGTAGGGAGGTTTGTATGTATGTATGTATGTACCTGGTAAGACGTGCATGTCAATCGCCAATAACCTTTTTTATAGAAGAAGGAGGTTAGCTGTGTGGGCGATATAAAATAGATAGATATTTAAATAAATAATTCTTTCTGGTCATGTCATGTAGTGGAATATCTCTGAGTAAGTTCATTTCAATGATAATCTTATTCTTAAGAAGATCAATAATATGAACAGAGAAGGGCATAACAGTAGTAGTAGTAATAGAGAAGATTCGAATAATAACGGCAATAATAATAATAACCGACACAGACATAGGTGATCGGATAGAAAGGGACTGCGGAGCGTCCTCCCTATTGATACATATGTGCACGCGGCTCTTCTTCTTCGAATTGGACTCGCTCTCTCTTCTCCATCGTGCGGGCCTTTCAGCCCATCGCGAACCAGGTGATGCTGACGACGACGTCGAGCCCCCGCTCCTCGGCGCCGGGGTACTTGAACGTCCACATGCCGTCGCGGTTGACGTCCCAGAAGGCGCCCGAGGCAGAGTGCATGCCGCGCTTGCCCACATCACCAGCATTGTTGCCTGCCACTGCGGCCTTGTCGACGACGCCCTGCTGCACGATCGTGCTGTTGACGGTGAACCGGTAAGGGGGCGGCGTGGAGGGATCTTTGGGGCTGGTAGCGCTGATGAGGGCCTTCAAAATTCCGTTCTGACATTGACGTCGATGTTAGTTAGCATGGCCCTCGGACAGCTTTCAGCAGGCGCGTCGACAGCCAACATACAATGATCTGCGAATTCCAGGACCCGACTTTCTCGTGATCATAACCTGTCGATCCTTGGAGAGCGGCGTCGCATGCCTGTTTACACGAGCACACGGCACAGATCAGCATTAGTCCTCAACAATTCTGCAGTATCACAGCAGAAACACGCGAAAACACACCTCTGTCGCAATCCTCGTAAGTTCCGCAACGGGTACTGGCTACAGTCGAGAGAGAGCGTTAGCAACGGGAAAACGACAGCGAGGGGTATCGGCACGCACAAAAGAAGGTGCTGAGACCTCGACTGCCATTCTGCCGGTGTCGAGTCTCAGAGCGTCCTCTAATTGTCTCGACGAGAAGATCGAATGTTCCGCTGGATTGCTCAGACCGTCGATAAACACAACCTGTGGCGCAAAGTTTATCGTTAGGGGAGACGTAGCCACAAAAAAATGCGGGGGACTGGCTCCAGCGCGGAGAAGAGGAACGTTCTGCGGGGGCGCGACGTACAAGAGGCAATCGGTGCTCACGCGACAGGCAGGTGGTGTTCAGACAGGACTCGCGGAGACTGCGCAGAATAATGGACAGACGAATGTTTTGAACGGCGATTTGGCATCGTCATTAAACCTCCGCTCACCGGAGTCTGGCGCGCGGTTGGATCGACGCTTGGATCGCGGAGCTGCCAAAGCGACCTGCCGCGCCGCCGAAAGGGGAATGGCGCGCCAGCCTCAGGGTTCGCCGGAACAACAATCTGCCGACAGCCGCTTACGCCGCAGGAACCCCAATGGGTGAGAAAGGCCCATGCACGTGAGCCGCCAACGTCGGATGCGGCAAGCAGCTTCAGCTGGGCTGCCTGATGCAACTGCTCGGCGGGGCGACTGCATCTCAGATCAGATCAGATCAGATCTCTTGCTCTCCCACGCCTCCTCACACGACCTGTTTGTCGCTGGCGAGCTCACTGCAGCTTCTTTGTCTCCAGCACTTTCTCAAACTTCTATACGTCGACCACTCGCTCAATTGCCCCGACACTAATCGACCCACTCTTCTCAGGGCTGGGAGGTCTTAACAAGGGTCGATCATCCTGTCATTCCCTGAATACCGCATTGGATATCCATTCCGTTGGCCAAGATGTCCTCTCAACCCCTTCTTCAGACCGCTCCAGGTTCGTATCCTCGCTTCGCTTCGCTTTAAGCTCAAGCAGAAGGAAGATAAGAGGCTAAACAGCATCCCTTCGTGAATTCTAGGCAAGCGCATTGCCCTTCCCACCCGTGTCGAGCCCAAGGTTTTCTTCGCCAATGAGCGCACTTTCCTCTCCTGGCTCAACTTCACCGTCATTCTGGGAGGTCTGGCCATTGGCCTCCTCAACTTTGGCGACCGCGTCGGTCGCATTTCTGCCGGTCTGTTCACGTTTATCGCCATGGCGGCGATGATCTATGCGCTGGTAACCTTCCATTGGCGAGCGCGCAGCATCCGAAAGCGTGGCCAAAGCGGGTTCGACGATCGGTTTGGGCCTTCGGTGCTGGCCATTTCCCTGCTGGCGGCCGTCATCGTCAATTTCATCCTCCGAATCCAGGACACCGGGAAGCCTTGAACGTATCCTTATCATATGAATAAGTCAGTCTTTTTGTTTTTGGGAACTAGTCCGACGGCTTGTATAAAGCTGTGCTACTTTTTGGAAGAGAGGATGTGAAGGGACCTTTCCTCTTGGCTCTGATTGAATAGTGCATTGTGCTTGCTATATATATACCTGTATCCTTAGAGAGGGATGATACGGCATGTTTTCTTTTTCTTTGATGGGATCTGCGCATGTTCTGCAGGAGTTTTGGGCGCTGGTCATTGCTGCTGTACTTTTGTCCGAAAATGAGAAAATGAAAATACCTGACATTGTCTCAGACGAAGATACTACCTACATAACTTACTACTGCTGCTGCTGTCTCAAGGTGTAAACATTATCATTCATTCAAGAGGGGCTTAAGATGCATATGCGTATTGTAAACAAGTCTGAGGTAATACCATACATGTAGATGGCGTCGACTCGTGCTCAATAACGCCCATCTTCTTCCGACAGATGGGTTGCGTAGGGGGGTATGTTATTAATATGTGTGTATATTCCACATTTCGCGTATGTACGAGCCTCCCTGATATCAATCGCTCGTCTGTCAGACACTAGACAAAGACATGAAGCTTGAAATTCTTCAGCACCAATAAAGAAAGCAAAAGCAAGCTGAAGCAGACAATCTTCGATTTCGACTGTTGTCAACCTAGCGTGGATTCTTGGGCTTCTGGCCGTATACAACGTAGCTGTTATAATATTCAGTCCCCCGTTACAATAATGTCGCCTGGTCAAAAGGTAAAACTAGAGATAAAGATATAGATAATCAACTCACAAATCAAAAATCGGGTGAATGTCAGGATTCCTTGAATCATTCCTCGCCTTTGCAACCAGTACAGTCACCTCTGCAGGAGTCCATGCTTCATATCGCGTCAAGACGGCCATGGCGGCAGCTTCGAAGCCGGTTCCTGCCTGGTGGAGGTTCCAGAGACCGATTTGTTTCTAACCATTGATTTATTGTGTGAATTTCTTCATATATATATATTCGCTGGCTATCGTACTTACCAAATGCCCATCCTTTGGCCAGACTCCCATCGGAGCTCGATACTTCTGAACATGGATATTTTCAAAGCCTACCTCACGGAACCACTGTTCTAGGTTGGGTCCTGGCCTTGTTTCATACCCTGCCTTCTCAAATGCCCCAATGACAATATCGTAGTACTGTTCGATAGAGGTGTTCTTGGTAGAGCCATCCTCCGAGCGCAGCGTGCAGTCCCAGTCTTGGATTTCTACCCAACCTCCAGGGACAGTATTTCTGGTCATGTCAGTCAGTAAGCAGAAGCACCCGGAAAAGGGGCAGTTCAGAACTAACTCGTAAGCTTGCTGTAATAGCTTCTTATAGTTTTTGATGGAAATTGCAAGAAATCGCGCGTGAATAAAGTCAAATGGTTTGTCATAGACCCATTGGGACTCGATATCGTCAACAAGAAACTTCACGTTTGGAGGAACCCTAGACGAGTAGGTAATTCAGCATTAGCAGCCGATTTTGTGCTGTGATAGAGGACTTCCATACATGGTTGGCTGAATAGGGCTTAGATCAACACCAATGACCTAGGCATGAAGGGCTTAGCATATGCTTGAGCCACTCGAATTGTTGTCTTTCTACCTCTGTATCCATGTACTGATCACCTTCAACATGTTTAGTATCAAGTAGCATATACCACTCCCGATCTCATTCTTACCAAAGTCAATAGCCCAAATCCCCGTGCCTGTCCCAAGGTCAATAACCCGCGTCGGCGACTCGCCAATAGGCGCAAGAAAGAGCTTCCGATGCATTGTTGTCAAGATCATTTCATGCAACATGTCTAGTCGATCCGCTTCTTCTTCATCATTGGGCATGAGGTAGCCTTTCTTTGTTAGCAGGAGCAGTCATTAAGTTAATTGATAAGGACAGTCACAGTATAGGACTTACTGCCATCACGGTATCCATGATACACCCTGCCGTTCTCCCTTCGATAATCGAGAACGGACGACGTCAGCGAGGCGTTGTAATTCGTCCTGGTATGGGTGGATCAGTGGCATTCTTTCTGAATGCTGCCCATGGGTATGGGTTGCAAACAGCTCATTTCCATAGGCCTCATGATTTCGGGTAGCCTAGAACAGACAAGAATCTTTAAATGTGATTGACGATTGGGGAATGAGCAGAAGTTATGCGCACCCTGGCATCAATTTTAATCCTCTCTTCAGCCATAATTAGGTAATAGATAATTAAGTTGCTTTTGCGTCAAACAGAACAGGGGTAGCTAGGCAGGTAAAGGACGGAGTACGTCAGAGTAAAACAGACAGGCAGTCTAATCTAAAAGAAAAAAAAAGACAGAGATGAAGAAGACTACTGGAAGTCCGATGCAGGATGGGGTATCGCTTAAAATATACAGCGAAATGATTGCCAGTCACGTCACTGCCATTGGCCTGCTCTCCATGTGAGCCATTTTTAAAAACAACAATAATAACAATAATAATTCGAGTGATAAGCTTTAGTGTTTGTGGCAGAAGCGGTGGGAAAGCCCGACTCGTAATTAAGTGGAGGGCATCATGACCTATTCCAGCTATTCGCATATGCTATGCGGTACCGACGGTACTCTAAGTGCGAGTCAAGCCTGCCAGGCTAAGATGGTTGGTTATATTTTAGGCTTCCGGGGGGTCATTCGCCGCGTCTGCTATCCTGCACTGACAGGGGTCAGGCGAGGGGATAGCCAGTTAGCATCCCTGTCATGGCGACGATCGCTGCAACCGTCATTGTGTCATGGTGTTGGAGCGTCAAGTCGGCGTCACGTGGTGAAGATCACGTGTGTAGCTGTCAAGGCGGTGTACGGAGTACTCTCTTGCATGAATATCATTTCTCCTCAACCCCTCTCTAGATAGGCACTTAGTTCTTCTTTCCCCTCAGCTTAGGTGCGTATGAGGTCATTGAGATGGAGCGCCTAGCCTGAGGCAGATGAGACTGATAAAGAGTTCTTCCTACTCCGTATCCCACAGAAAAAAGAACGGATGACACATGTATCTCAGTCCCATCTGATTCAGAAGTACTTGAATCCTGGCCTCAGCTTCCGCAGGTTCTGCCTCCTGGATGCCCATCTCTCGTCCGGTCGAGTCGGTGCGGAGTGGCCCGAGCGGGACAAACCTCGGTCGATAACCACTCGACCCACAGGTCAGCGATGATCTCGTAGGTGAACTTCAGGACGTCTTCTTTCAAGTGCTCTGGGAAGGACTCGGTCGGCAACTGCCACGGATAGTATGCCTTTCTCGTACGATTGTTTCGTCTTGAAGTCGGTTCTGTGAACGTCGTTGAACGCCTTAAGGGGTCGCATCCATGGCACGCGAGTTTGGACATACCAACATAAGTGTATGCTTTTTCTTGATCAGATTTGAGAACGTTCAAGTTTCGTCTCGCAGTGGACCATGAGGTCCATCGTCATGGACTCTTGGGCAATGTACGAAGTATGTTGCATCTCGTTCCACTACAATGAGTGAAAGAACTGGTGTGTGGCCCCATGTGGACGAGAGCTTTCTCCAGCAATGTTTCCCAATCCTTAGCTGTCCTGGGGACAGATGCTCCTCGGAGGTGTCACGGCGAAGTGGAATGCGAAGAGATATCTGCATCGTGGAGATGCCACGGTCTTGAGAGGAATGTCAGTGCTAGTTAATCTTTTGAAGGTGGACATACAGTACAGTTTGGCGAAGTCTGAGATGCAGATGCGGTCTTTGGCGACTGAACTCCTGATGTCGAGGAATTCTGATTGCTGTTTGTGCGGTTCGCAGACTGGCGAAAACATGTTCCAAGTTTCTTTGGTCTTCACGAGCAGGTTTGCCGAGAACAGAAGGCTCAATCGACCGTTGCACCTTCCTGAAGAGGCGTGATCCGTCGAGACCATTCGTGTCGATGGCGGCCATCCGTGAATTCTACGCCTTGTTTTGTAGTCTGATACTGAGCATCCAGGAAATCCTCGTGAAAAGTTAGAACTGCGAGGTTGTATTCGCTACAACTTCGAACGTGTTCCCATGTCGAGTTCCAGGTTCTTCACTTAGGGAGAGCTTCTTGGGTACTAGGTACCTAGGTAGTTAGTTAAAGCTACTCCAAATACTGACCCCTTCGTAGTCATTATGATGCTTTCATATGGTATAGTAGCGTGAAGGTCGCAATATTCAGAGCCTATTTGCTTGTTAATGACAAGCTTTACAGGTGAAGAGAAAAATACCTGATCTATGCCAAGGACTTCTACTCTACCTTGTAGGTATCTAGGTACTCTCGAGGGAGCAAGTACGTGACTGTGCATAAACGGAAATTGATGGTCTATGAACAGGTAATATAGCGTATTTACTCCACCAGTATTTCGAGAACCAGGTACCTACCTAGTAGGTCTGCACCTGGTCGGTGATTCCATCCTCCTTCCTACCTAGGCAATCAGGTGCTCCAGGAGATCGTACCGAGAATGCTGGTGGCCAGTTGGCTGGCGGGACAGGATCACGGGATGGCCAGCCCTGACGGAGGCAGCAGGATTCTAGACGACCCGATAGTCAGGCCCCCCACATGGGCCAGACGGCCGGATATGAGGCTATCGGATGATAGGCGGAGCATGGCTAAGGCTAACGCTCGTCGCGCGAAGTACTGAGTATTCCTTCAGACTTATCTCCAGATATCTGGCTGATGTCTAGTAGAAATGCGATACGGTAGAGAAGTCTAAAGGAGAGATCCAACAATAATATCACCTCATCGACACGCTTCTCTGCGCACGGCAGGCTGCTGCTGCCGATGACGCACCGGGCGCCTCCCCACTCTGCGGAGATCCGAGACCTGTTTGACTTGGACCCAGCCATGATTCCATGTCC